TCTAGAGGGATGACAAAATTTATGTTGTAGTTGAATAGGCTGATAAGTCTTGAGGGTGATGTCAGCAAGGAAGGATCTTGAGAAACCATGATTTGTCCATGTAAGTTGAATTCCAACAATTCATGTTTTTCTTTTCATAAATTGTGTGGAATAGACATTTTCAGAGACAGAAAGAGAGAGCAGTGATTTTGGCAGCATTCTTACTTTATGCTATTTCATTCGTTCAAGCTGTATGTGTTATATAATATACTATGTTTGTTGCTCTTGGTTCTGGATACTTGCAGGGACCATGACAAAATTTGGTTCATGTCCATTACAAAGAAAATAATGGAGTGCATCAAATTTATCTACGATGTCGAACACAACGCTAGGGACAATTTTTATTCGACTGCTCATTACAAGTGATAAAAAAATTTCAATATATTTTTGGACTGAATTTGAGTCCGCCGTGCGTGCACGGCGTAAGACAACTAGTGTTCTTATAAGAAAACCATGTTGCCCCCTTTTTGCCTGCCATGTGGCACCCTTCAGCGTCTCTTGTTTCACATTAGCTTGGGTCATATAACATTAGCTTTCAGATCCCTGTAAAATGATTCTTTGAGTTCCATATGCAACATGGGTGTTCTCTAAGAGCACCTATAATGCATTGAGTCTAATTTTATATATGTGGCATATAAATAGACTTAAGTCCTAAATGACATGGACAAACCCAAGTAAAAAACGCAAAATCTATTCAATACAAAAATAAAATACTAGATCTAGCATACATGTCAACCAATAAAAATGTTCTAATATATTTCCTTTATTAAAAGAAAATTTAAATTATGAATAAATGATGAGTGTTTGGGTTTGTACTTGAGTCCAAAATAGACCTAAGTGTGGACTTGGTCTCTTTTTATTATTACCACATAAGCTAGACCATGTCCACTTTTAATTGCATTGAGAGACATTTTTTAATAGACTAAGTCTATTTCTTATGTGGCATATGATATTTTATTAAGAGACTGAATGTATTGTGGATGCTCTAATAGATATGAACAGAAATTCTATGGAGTCATCGAATGATTTTCTTATGAAGTCATCCACCACTCAATGTATTGACACCTGACCAAAGTGTATTTATTGTAAGACACGTGTCAATGTATTATCTGTGAATAAGTATTGATGGCTCCATAAATCGTGTCATCCGATGGCTCAGTAACAAAACTGTAGATATCAATGTCATTCTTTACAAAGGTTTCCTTCTACAATTCCCTCTATTTTTCGTTAGTAAATCTTGGATTAAATGGCATATTAATCATTTTGGTAATTGAACTGATTCATAAGTACGAATGCTAATTTATATTTTAAGCGAACCGTATCAACCTGAGGCATTTCAAATCTATAGCAGTTATACTTTTATTCTTCTTCTTTTCCCTTTTAGGCGCTTTGTTTTGATTTGTTGCTACTTAATGTGGTGACCGACATGCTATAGGAATTATGTGATAGTTTTCATCTGCTCTTTAATGATATTAGGTTGCTCTTTGCTCTTTTGTTGTTGCAAAGATTCCATTTTCCAATTTCTGTCAGAATGAAGAATAACATAACTTGATTTATTTTCTCGTGTTACATTAGCTTATCATTGACTAATCACCCGACTTCTTTTCATGTAGATCACATGTCAACTTACTTTTGTTGCTTATGCATTTCTCTTTGTGATAAACCAGTACCTTGTTTTACCTATACATGTAACTCCATAGAGTGCAGAATCTTCTTGTTGTTTCTTACCATTTTAATAAGTTTTATGTGTTTGAAGCTTCATGACATTCATCTGAACTATCACTGCATTATTCAAGCAAACAGATTGAGAGCTATGTCCTGGCAATGTTAAAAACTCAAAATCACTTTTCCATTGACAAATTTCATATTTGTGCTATGAAGTTCAAGAAAGGTTAGCATGCTTTATTATTTGTCTCCCTGAACTTGTTCATTCTAAATTCTTCTTTTTGTACTTCTTATGGTCTCTGTTTTATTTTTGGTTGTCTTTTTATTCTATTTTTTTCCTGTCCAAGGCTTGCATTGTAGCTTATCAATGGAAATGTTTACATTATGTTCCTCACAATTTCCAATTAGTTAATATGTTTTTTTATTTTTTGTCGTAAGTGAAATTTTAACTCGGCATATGAAAACTATTCCTGGAAACTCTCCCAACTGTTCTGGAGATGAATATGTTGTGATCCTTGGCTATGAGGAATTGTGCCTTTGCTCTCTTACAAACATTCACCTTCATGATCAAAGTTTTTTCCGTGCTGATTATTCTGGTTGTTTCTTATCCAACACAAATAATTGTTGTCCGAGGGGACAATGATTGTTTGGAAGCAGCGACGGACGCAAAAATTTTTATCAGCCTGGGCAATTTCACATGGAATGAAAAAATACCATTTCTTTTAAATTCACTTAATTAAAAAATCATTCAGTTCAAGAATACCAGCCCTAAGCCCAAGAAAAAAAAATCAATTTCTTGCATAAACTGTATACCATACTCGAGTTCTACGCAGTATGCACCACAAATTACCGAGAGGTCCACTCGATCGGGACGAAATTACAGTAAAAAAAAGAAAAACAAACAAAATATAATACAAACAATTGAACAAAAATCTGAATTTAAGAATTTAAAAAAAAAATGATATGAATAGTTGAACAAATAAAACACTTATATTAGAAGTATAAAGATGGAAGATGAATAGATGATTAGACGAGAGATGGCAGATCAGTGGTGATCGGGCGAACAATTTTGGAATTAATGGATTTTTTTTTCCGAAAGAAATTAGGGATCTTAAGACTGTGAATTGAGAAGGTTTTTATTCCTTTGCCTTGTCTGTACCTGCGTGCGTGTGTACTGGGGAGAAAGCATGTATTTTTTATTACCTTTTATTATAAACGACGTCGTTTAGCTTCTAATTTTTTAATTAAATGGAAGCTAAAAAACAACGTCGTTTTAAAGCCTGATTAAAAAAAAACACACATTACCAGTTAATCTTCTTCCCTAGTCGTACAACCTCCATTTTTGCCTTTTTTCACCCAAAATTTCTACTAAAATTGTAATAATATACCTTTAGCAGCAAAAATTCAGCCTGGGCAATTGTCCAGGCTCGCCTAAGAATAAATCCGCCTCAGCCTAAGCGCACCATAAGAGGGTGAGCCTAATTGCACCTTAGTGAGGTTCCATCCAAAACCAATTAGTGATGGGAGGAGTACCCGACTAGGTTTATAAACTATGCCCATTTTCCCTATAGAGTCAATATGGAACAACTCACAAGTGATATTCCAACAATTCATTTTACCAAGATAGAGAGACAGACTGAGTGATTTGCACGAAAGATGTAGTCATGCCCACATGCTGTCTTAGGCTCCGTTTGATTTGAGAGATTTGAAATCTCTTGATTTCAAAATTTTTGAAATATAATTTTTTTTTACTTGCACACTCCTTGAATGGATGTGTCGAAAATATTATAAATAAATTATCTAACTCGCACCGATGGTGTTGACTCGCGATGGTGATGAACCTAAATGATCGTGTATGACGTGGTCGTCAACAGTAGATTTCAATTGACTAGGTTTGAGGAGTCATTTCAAATCCTTAAAAATAATGACTAAAAAACATGTAGGATGAATTTAAAATACTCCAACTTCCATTATTATCCCAACATGCACGAACTTTTGAACTTGTAAATTTAAAATCTATGAATTTCAAATCACTCAGTAAATCTCTCAAAACAAACGGAGCATTAAGGTGTTCATATCACGAGATTTTTTCCCCAATTTCACTGATTTGCCTACTGTTTCGTTATGTGGTGTCAGGCTGTCAGCACTACAGCTTACTACCTGATTTTGGGTTCTCAGTTTTTTCTAGCATTATTTTCTTCTATTTTTTGTATCCATTTGAGAAGAAACACAATGAACTCCGTTATACTGTGAACATTGAAACAACTTCTAAATCCACCTGAATTGTGGGCCAATTTCCCGTTTCTTGTGGGCTCATGAGAAGCCCATCTAATTTATATTCTCCTCCTCCCGATTGTAATGCAAGAAAACGTCTCCCTTTTTCTTTTTTAACTTTTCGCACTTTCAGAAAATTCCTCCGATTAAATTTCATCCTCTGCAATTCGAATTGTGTATTGTATTGCAAGAAAACGTCTCCCTTTTTCTTTTTTTAACTTTTCGAACTTTCAGAAAATTCCTCCGATTTAATTTCATCCTCTGCAATTCTTTCTTCTGCATAAACTGCATAAATCAGGTAACAAGACAAACTTCTCAGTTGATTTTATGATTAGTTTTATTCTAATGTATGCCACGATTAGGGTTTAAGCTCCACTGGTCTATCATTGAAATCCACTCTGCAGTTTGAAATTAGATCTTCTTTTTTCTGGATCCTGCACACTTTGATCGACTTTGATTGAACCAGAACTGTATTGTGGTTGTTTATCTTTCGTTTTTTTGCTAATTTATAACGCCGTGAACTGTTGGAATCTTTTTTCTTTTTTTACAACACTTGGTGTACTTCGAAGCCGTAATTTAGGGTGTATCTTTTTTTTCTTTTTCATCATTTTGGGCTAGAAATTGTGTAAATGTTTTGGTCTTTGGAGTTGTTAATTGTTTCCTAATGTTGATTGTGTGCTCATCTTCACAGGGGATAATGATGAAAATTGATTTTGGTGGGCTTGATCCCTCAGCGCCTATAAATGGAAACAGGGATGAGCTGCATGATGATGAGATTTCAGCTCCTCCATCTTTCAAGCTTCCTACTACTGTTGATGTGAGTGTGTCTATTTTCTTCTACATATATATATATATATATATATATCTATTAATTTGATTTTTCACTAGTGTTATTCAGTGGGGCATCAACATCACGAGTAAAAAATAATTTTCGTTCCTTTAGTTTGATGGGTTTCAGAAAGCTTCTGTACAAATGGTGAAGCCTGCGAGGGGAACAACTACTCTGGCTTTTATATTTAAAGGGGGTGTCATGGTGGCTGCCGATTCACGTGCTAGCATGGGAGGATATATATGTGAGGCTTGATGCATTCTTAAATTGATAATGTTTTTTCTTTTTAATCTGACATTAACGATAGGATCTCAACCATAAAATTCTAGGCACTGAGATACTGACCCATTTTACTGCAATATAAGCTACTAAAAACACCAAATTAGATCTATATAGTAAATTGTGTTACAAGGTCAAATACTCTGGGGAGGAAAGACCTGTATATTTATATAATCTGCAGTTTCTTACTCCTGGATATAAGCTCTAATGGCTGCTAACTATGTTCTTTTCTGTGCTCCTATTAAGCTGCGATGTTGTTCTTTGTATGGAAATGCTTGTTGTAAACCTATCAACTGCTTTGATAAAGTTGCCATTACTGATTGAAGTTCATATGTCCATTGCAATGGAGCTGGAAGAGTCATTGTTGACAATTTTTCTGGCATAGTGCTAATAATGGACTAGATCAAAATGACTCAATTAAATTCTAGTGCTTCTTCTATTAGTGAAGTTTCTAGAAAAAAAATATATCAAACGGCGCAATGCACCTTGGGTCGCTACGGAAACAGCCTCCTTGTATAATTACAAGGGTAAGGTCTGCGTACAACTGACCCCCCAGACCCCAACCTGTTGGGAATATACTGGGTATGTTGTTGTTGTTGTTGTACTGATTGAAGTTCATGTTGACCTACTTTTACGATGTTGGTAAAAGAGTGGAGTTTGAAGTTGATAATTAAGATTTTCAATTTAGATCACACGTCCTGATGAATGAATCTCATGGATCAAACTTCTAGGGTGAAATGCCATGCTTTCAGTTTATTATTTTTTGTGTTGGTTTTGTTCGGGATGAGACAAATATTAATATTAACTGTTGTTATGCCTTTAATGCTGATTCATTATTTTCGTCTTTGTGTGTCCTGGTTAGGGCAAATAACCAATTGTCTTTTCAATTGCTTTAAAGATACATCAGTGTTGATGTTATGGTGTTTTGTTCTGAATACTGCATCTCATAGTTCATTTATCGTAAGTGGTTTCTTTTTATGATAGCATCACAATCTGTCAAGAAAATCATCGAAATAAACCCGTACATGCTTGGTACGATGGCTGGAGGAGCTGCTGACTGCCAGTTCTGGCACAGAAATCTTGGAATTAAGGTGATGCAATTTTCATGTAATCTTTCAGTGAAGTTATTGTTATATCCACATGTTTCAGGTTTGAGATATGCTGCTTTAACATGTTAAATTTTGTTATTTTTCCACACAAGAATTAAAAGAGATTCTTCTATCATTTTGAGTTTCCATAATAATAATAGTATACTTCTCTTGTTTCATGGCCGTATATGCTACTGAAACATTGTGATTGAATGATTTTCTTGCGTTATTTCAGTGCCGTTATTCTTCTTCGCCTTGTGATTGAATATTTTTTCTTGCGTTATTTCAGTGCCGTTTACATGAATTGGCTAACAAAAGAAGAATTTCCATTGCTGGAGCTTCAAAGCTGTTGGCCAACATTCTGTATTCTTACCGAGGAATGGGTTTATCTGTCGGGACTATGATTGCTGGCTGGGATGAACAGGTATAGAATGAAATTACCACACTAGCCTTTCCTTTCTCACTCCTCAACCTTTTTCTCATATATGTATATACTCCTTCAATTTGGTGTAGGGCCCTGGTCTTTATTATGTCGACAGTGAAGGTGGACGACTTAAAGGCACCCGATTCTCGGTTGGCTCGGGTTCTCCATATGCTTATGGTGTTTTGGACAATGGGTATGTTCCTTTTAGTTTCGTTTTGCTGCTATGCCTGAGATTTTTTAGTGACTACCAAAAGAAAGTAACTCACGATGGTTTCAAATGACCAATGAACATATGAATTAAGGGATTATCTATCAATAGCTATACTCTCAATTATTATCTAACTAAACCCATTTATCATACTCATATACTGTCTTTTGTAGATACCGTTTTGATATGTCGGTTGAGGAAGCTGCTGAGCTGGCAAGGCGATCAATCTATCACGCGACTTTCCGTGACGGTGCCAGTGGTGGTGTTGCCAGCGGTAATGTGTTCCTCCTTTCTCTTCGTTGATTTTATTTTATTTTTCGTTTTCATCGCACGCCTTTTTCTTTTTTCTTTTTAATATTTATTTTTTTAATTTTACAGTGTACCACGTTGGGCCAGACGGGTGGAAGAAGCTATCAGGGGATGATGTTGGGGAACTTCATTACCAATACTATCCAGTCGAGCCCACGTCAGTGGAACATGAAATGACTGAGATTGCTATTGCGTGATCGTGCTCGAGTTTAAGGATGTTTGCTGCTATTTGCATTTTGCTTCGGATTGTATGTGAGACCGGTTTAATCTTGTCTCGATTCGGAATCGACTTGTAACATTTTTTAATTTCGAATTAAAACTGCTTGCTTTCATCATCTGCATGACATAACTTTTCGTATTCCATCTTCATCTTCGGAGGGGTAGGTTCTCGTTTTTGACTTGTGTAATGAGGTATTTGAGCTCGGCTCGTTTAAGTAAACAACCCGAGCTTGAAACTTGTAAAAAATAAAAATAAAATAAAATAAAACGGGAAGGAGCTCGTTTGCTTAAGTAATTAAACGATAAGAGGTTGAGCCGAATCGAGTTCTTCCTTCTCCTTGTAGGTTGTTAACTAATCGAACTTTTATGAACAAAAGTCGCAAAAGTTTGTTTGCGACAAAAGCTCGTTCTTTGTTAGTCGACCAAGTTTGAACAGAAAGTTAGTCTTGTTTAATAATACTCACAAACACAAGCTTATTTGCAAACATTCGAACGAACAACTAAATAATGAGTTAATCAAACAATTTTAAAATAATGAACTTAAACTTAGACGAACAATATAACGAGTTTGAATATGATTTTTTGCTTGAATGATCAACGAACAAATACAAACAATCGAAACTCAGCTTATTATCGGATTACAATTTTGCTATGAAGCCAATAGTGGCTCCGTAGTAAAGTCAACCTTCTATATACAACAAGTAAATCATATCATATTCATTGTTTACTTAAATAATATTAATATTTTTATTAATATGGTATGGTTTACTTTTGTATATTTATTGATTACTTAAATAATACTAACTAGTACGTAACCCGTGCGATGCACGGGATGTAAAATTTGGAAGAATAATATAATCTCACGTGCATTAGGATCGAAATTGAAATCATTAAAATACATAGGAAACAAGGGCAGATCTAGCCATATAAACGAGTGGGGGCCTAATATTTAAAAGATACTAGATATTAAACATTATAATTAAAAATTCAAAGAAAAAACATAAAATTTACAATTTATTACACATGAATTTCATAGCTTGAAATCGTTTCTTATAATGAAATAACTAAACAACTCTTTTTACTATTTTCACACACATTTCAAAACATTAAAAAAAATTACATGACTTTACCGTGAAATTATTTTTTTATAATGAAATAATTAAACACCTCTTTTACTATTTTCACACACATTTAAAAAAAATTCAAAATTTTAAAATGGTAAACGTAATTATTTCAAGTTTCAATAGAAGTTCGCTTTTAAACATGATAAAGAAAAAATAAAATCATAATCAAATCAATGTTTTTTAAACATGATAAAGAAAAAACAAAATCATAATCAAATCAATGTTAAACGCCCTAACGGACCCGACATAAAATATACACAAGTCAAAACCAATTTTTTTTTTATATGTTGACATTCATAACTTAATTTAAATATAATTACTTTTGTTAGTATTTCTGTTTTTAACATTAATTTCAACAACCCTTCTTAATAAGAATATGTCAATTTTAACCAAAAAAAAAAAAAAAGAAATTGTAGAGCCATAAAATCTTATCATTAGCAATAGCCATACACAAATCAATCGAAACTATGGTATTATGGAACAATAACTAAATGCACGCAAACTAATCAAAGTGTGCAATATATATCCAATTAATCTAAAGATAAACATCAGCAAGCCCATTTACTTATCATGTTTATATGACACCTAATGAAGTGCTCACTTTATTTTATTCAGTGTGGGCCTCGTCATATACTGCATCCGCTCCTGATAGGAACATTGTTGAATCATAAAAAGTTCGGTAACAGTAATAAATTTTTAAAAACCTCTTTTTACACAACATTATGAGTGTGATTATTTGGTAACTCCTCGTTATTACAAACTAATATTTTCAACCATCTTCTATTATTTACACGCGAAGCAGCAACATATAATTGACCGTGACTAAAAACGGGTTTCTTCAGGAAAAGACCAACGTGGGATAAAAAAAGAGTTTTTAAAAATTGAAAAGTCAAGACAATCAGTTCAGATTAATTAAAGGTCAAAGAATATCCGCTCCTTCAAATAAAAACGTGTGCTATCATTAACCAAATATCTGATTATTGATATAAAGTGGTTACCAAAAAATAGAACGCGATAACAACCTTCATGGAAATATCAATTGGATAAGGTCATAAGAGATCGCTATACATTTTAACGATAAAAGCTCATATGAAATGATTTAATTACGAAAAGGACATAATTAATGAGAAATGTGAAAAGGACAAAAACTTACCGATTTTGGAAAATATTTAATGCAAATCCAACATTGACCATAATTTGACCTACTATTTTGAATAAATGTTAATTCTTATTATATAAGTATAGATAATTTTATTAATATGGTTGGTTTACGTTAAAGCCCAATGATCCTCCTTTCTTTCTTCTCCACGGATCATTATTTTTTCTTCTGCACACGCGCACGAAACCTTCATCCACGGCGGCGCGAGGCGCAACCCCCGTCAATTGAAGAGAAAGTTGAGTTTTTCTTTCGTATGGAATTGTTTCTATAATGAATGAAACCCTAGCTTTCATTATGGTCAATTTATGCTTTTCTGAGCATGATGATGGATGATTATTTGAAACCCATTTGTGAATTTGCGGTTGAAGTATTCTGTTGAAATTGAGTTTGGTTTCTGAACTCGCAGGGCAGCCCCAGAAAGATATTAGCTTGAGATATTCTCAAATTATCCATATGTTAGCTACCCAACATTTTTCTAGAAATAAAATGATGGCATTTTAGTCAGCTAGATGTGCCATGATGATTTTTTACTAAGATTGTTTTTATCTTAAGATGAACATATTTTGCATTCTCAATTTTTTTTTTTCTTTAACTTTTGTAATTGTTTTGTTATTTGGTTAATAAACATATATTTGTTTTCTATCTACAAGTATCATACTTGCATTTAGTCATGTACGTTGTGTTAAGTCAAGTAATTTTCAGAAAAGTATGAGTAGCAAAGAGTTGATCTACCTAATATTTAAAGTATACAACCTCAACTTCAGCAAATGCTGTAGATATATGAAAGAACTCACTATTCGTGATTCTGTGATTTTAAAATTTGTACGTTTTACATTGTCTTTGATTATAAAATTTTTTGGCATAAAAAAATCATATGACAAACCCTTATGGTCGCTGGCATAACGCATGCATTGCTGCAAAGAAAGATCTGTCAGTGGTTGTGGTTTCAATTGTTGATATCTCTTCATTTTTTATTTTTATTTTCAATTTGTGGTGTTAATATTTTTCCTAATATTATTCCAGATTATTGCAAGAAACATTCTTGTACTTCATCAAACAACAAATCTTTAAGTTGGCCATTGCAGATTGCAGAAAGTCAGAGCATCTCCATTGCTCGTTCATCTGCTCACATCTGAATAATTTCAGTTCGATTACCATAGGTAATTGCATCACATGATGATATTTAATTGATTTTTTCTTTTTTTAAATTTTGTGTTGTGTTTGATTTCTATTAGCTTAATGTTTTCTGGCTTGTGCCACAGGACTGTTACTTGGATTTTTCCTTTTGTGTTTTGTAGAGGTCATGTTACATCGTTTTATCTATTACAAGTATATATACATGAATTTTTAGCCCATCAAAGATATATATATCTTATTGGGCCAATTTCCCGTTTCATGTGGGCTCATGAGGAGCCCATCTAATTTATATTCTTCTCCTGAGTTGTGTAATGTATTGCAAGAAAAGGTCTCCCTCTTTCTTTGTACTTTTCGCATTTTCAGAAAATTCCTCCGATTAAATTTTCATCCTCTGCAAAAAGTTTCTAGAAAAAAAAAAATATATCAAACGGCGCAATGCACCTTGGGTTGCTACGGAAACAGCCTCATTGTATAATTACAAGGGTAAGGTCTGCGTACAACTGACCCCCCAGATCCCAACCTGTTGGGAATATACTGGGTATGTTGTTGTTGTTGTTGTTGTTGTTGTTGCAATTCTTCTGCTTAAACTGCATAAATCAGGTGACAAGAAAAACTCCTCAGTTGATTTCATGCACTGCTATGGTTTTATTCTAACGTATGTTGCGATTAGGGTTTAAGCTCCACTGGTCTAGCATTGAAATCCACTATGTAGTTTGAAATTAGGTCTTCTTTTTTCTGGACCCAACGAGTGCTGCAAAAAACGATCGACTTTGATTGAACCAGAACTGTATTGTGATTGTTTTTCTTTCGTTTTTGCTACAATATAACTCTGTGAACTGTCGGAATCTTTTTTCCTTTTGTACAACACTTGGTGTACTTCGAAGCGATGATTTAGGGTGTATGCTTTTGTTCTTTTTCATCATTTTGAGCTAGAAACTGTGTAAAAGTTTGATCTTCACGTATGTTCTTACATGTACTTGTAGTTATGGTGGGTCTTTCTCTTGGAGAGCAAAATTTTATAAAAGGTGGAATTGCGCAGGATTTGCGTACTGATGGTCGTAAGCGATTATCTTACCGGCCCATCTCTGTGGAGACTGGTGTCATTCCTCAGGTATAATAAACGGCTCACTTACTTCGCATCTGGTAGATTTTATGCTTATTAATGTATTCTTGTGATGAATCCGAAAGGCAAGTGGCTCAGCAAGAGTGAAGCTTGGGGCAACAGACGTTATTGCAAGTGTGAAGGTATTGTCTTTCTCCGTCAAACAATAAATGTGCATCTCGCGTTGAGATTTGGCTGGGTTGCATTTGTTTTTCTTGGTAATCTAGGAACAGTTTCTTTTTGTCACATAACATTCTTTGGATTTTTCGGAACTTGGACCAACATTTTATGTATTTCTCGTGCAGGCTGAGCTTGGAAAGCCAAGTGCATCTCATCCTGATAAGGGGAAGGTTTCTATATATGTAGATTGCAGCCCGACCGCTGAGCCAACTTTTGAGGTTGGATAAGCTTTGGTTTCATTGTGCAAATGAATGTGTGATTTGTAGATAAATTTATTAGTTGAATTTACGTAAAATACTGGATTGGCTGAGCAGGATGGCAAACTATGAATTGTTGTCAGTTTTTTAGGTAATTTTATTTGAAAGCTTTTCTTTAGTTGAGAGGTGTTGACAACTATGGAAGTCGTGATTGGTTATTAAAATAAAAGAAAACCTTGAAGGAAATGGTACGACAAATGGTTTTGTTGCTGAGCTGAAGATCATGAACCACCTGATAGCTTGTTCTTAGTCATGTCCGCTTTACTATCTGTATCACCCTACTTCTTTACTTAGATTTGATATAAAGTATAAACTTCATACGCCAAAATTGAACAATCTTTGTTGACTTACTTGAATCTTCAAGTATGTTTCATTTTCCCAACAAAGTGCTCTACCAAATATCTCCTAACCGTTTTCCATCGAATAAATGAATTCCAGTTATCTAAATATTTGTCACAAGTTCCCTTGATCCTTCAATCACAGGGCAGAGGGGGTGAGGAATTAGCTACTGAGCTCTCATCCGCACTTCAACAGTGTCTTTTGGGAGGTAAAAGTGGGGCAGGTATGAGTGCAAAACAACTTCATGCTTAGTTAAGTTGCACGTTACCTCATTATATTCCATAATGCCAGATATTTTTGCTGTATGTGATTTTTGCTTGCAGGAGCTGGGATTGATCTCTCATCTCTATCCATTGTTGAAGGAAAGATCTGTTGGGATCTGTATATAGATGGTCTCGTTGTAAGCTCAGATGGTAATATACTCGATGCCCTTGGAGCAGCCATCAAGGTATTGTGTTTTACTTCTTATGTTTGCATTTACCGAATTCAAGAAATTATCAATATATACTGTATTTCCATTAGGTCTATTTTTTTTTTATATTATTATTAATATTTTTGGTTATTTCTTTTTCTAGGCAGCCCTAAGCAATACAGCTATTCCAAAAGTCCAAGTCGCTGCTAATGCCCCTTCAGATGAGCAGCCGGAGGTTGATGTGAGTGACGAGGAATTTCTACAATTTGACACATCTGGGGTTCCTGTTATAATTACTTTAACCAAGGCAAGACATTTTCCCTCCAAAATTTATTTATT